TAATACAAGATCTTGATTCAAAAAAGAGTACAAATATATATAACCCACTATATATATAACACTATATATATGTATATGTATATATAAAACAATGACAAGAGGGAATAAGCCAAAGGGTGGGGGAAGAAATAACGGTGAACAGAACACTCTCTTGTTTCTATTTCTTGGAGTTCATTTCATTAAACAAATGGTAACATACATATAGCTATTGAGCCATTATGATAATCTCCTAAGAATATCCTCCTATGTTTTTACTGTGTGATCTTTGTCTCCTTCCTGATTTTTCAGGAAATGGTTTTAACTCTTCACAATTAAGTATAATGTTGGCTGTAGGTTTTGGATTCTTAGATTTTTCAGAGGTTTTATCTTAATGGGGTATCAGATCTTTTCAAATGTTTTTTCTACATCTATTGAGATAATCGTGTGGTTATTGTCTTTGTTCCTGTTGATGTATTACATTAATTGACTTGTGTATACTGAACTAGCTTCACATTCCTGGAATGTATCTCATCTAATCATAGTGTACAATTGTTTTGATTAGTTGTTGAAGTTGGTTAGCCAAAATTTTATTGAGAAGTTTTGCATCAATGTTCATCAATGAGATGATTCTATAGTTCTCTTTCTTTAATGAGTCCCCATCTGGTTTGGGGATGAGGGTTATGCTTGCTTCATAGAATGAGTTTGGTAATGATCTTTCACTTTCAATTTTATTGAAGAGTTTGAGGATTATTATAGTGAGTTCTCCTTTGAGGGCCTTATACAATTGGGCTGTGAATCCATCTGGTCCTGGGCTTTTTTTTTTTTTTTTTTATTATTGGGAAGCATTTTATTGCAATTTCCATTTCATTACTTGTTATGAGTATATTTATTTGATTTAAATCTTCTTGGTTTAATTTGTGTAAATCAGTATTTACTAGGAATTCTTCTATTTCTTCCAGATTCTCCAATTTGATAGCATGAAGGTTTACAATGTTTTCCCTTATAATATTTTGAATCTTGCTTGTTTCTCTGGTGATGTTCCCATTCTCATCTCTAATTTTATTTGGTTGTGTTTTCTTTATTTGGCCAGATTTGCTAAGGGTCTGTCAATTTTGTTATTTTTTTCAAAGAAACAGCTCTTTGTTTTGTTGATTCTTCCCATGATTTTTTTTGGTCTTTTGTTCATTTATTTCCAATTTAATTTTACTGGTTTGCTTCCATCTACCAGTTTGAGGTTTGGTTTGTTCCTCTTTTCCAAGGAATTTAAGGTGCATCATTAAATTTTTTATTTGAGATTTCTCCAATTTGTTAATGTAGGCACTCAGAGCTATAAATTTTCCTCTGAGTACCACTTTTGCTGCGTCTCAGACAAGCTGGTATTTTCTGTTTTTTTTTTTTTTATTGTTGTTAAATATAAACATTTGAATTTCTGCTCTGATCTTTTCAATGACACACTGGTGATTCAACAGTGTGTTGTTTAGTCACCATGGGATAGAGAATTTTTTATGGTGGTTTTGGTATTAAGTTCTAATTTTATTCCATTGTGGTCTGAGAGAATGTAGGGAATAATTTCAATATTTCTAAATTTGTACAGATTTGCTTTGTTACCTAACATGTGATCTGTTTTGGAGAATGTTCCATGTGCTGCTGAGAAGAATGTATATTTTGATGCTGCTGAGTGAAATATGCTGTAGATGTCTTTTAAATCTAGTTAGTCTATGAAATTGTTTATTTCAGAGGTTTCTCTGTTGACATTTTGCCGGGTGTTGAGTTCTTGCCCAGTTGATCTATCCATAGGTGACAGTGGTATGTTACAATGACCGACAATCAGTGTATTTGGATATATGTGTGTTTGTAGGGTAAGTAGTGTTGAAGTTCAGTGCTCTGGCATTTGGTGTAGTCAGAGGGGCTAGATCCTGAGAATCTCCTTTTAGCCCAGAATGGAACCTGCCCTCAACTTTTATGACCTGTCCAGTTTTTCGTTTTTCCCTACTGAGATTTTCCAGACTTTTGGTTTTGTAATTCCAATATGCCTGGCTATCTGTGGGTTGAGCTGCAATATGTCTGGAATGGTGAGCTTGTCTGTGTTTGCGGATTCCTCTCCCATAGCTGTCTTCCCCTGGGCAGTGCTGTCTACTCCTCAGTGGTCTTTGTTTTTGTCTTTTTTCACCAGAGAAGAGAGGTACAAGGACATTTACCTTTTTAAAAAATGTCACCACTTCTCCGGCAAGTGTTACTGTCAGGGTGCTCTGGCAGGCTTTATGCCACTTAAAAAATTACGTTCTTTTAGGTAGGGGGAAGGTTTCCTTCAGATGCTGTTCTCTGGGAGGGAGAAAACATGTTTTTTGTGGAGTACTCATGCTTTCCCTTGGTGTTTTGAACTGTTTGCCGTGTGATGATTTGTCTCCGCATCTGTCTGTGGCTGGCTGGGATACAGATTCCCATTCCTGGTCTTTAAGTTCCCACTGGAGGTGAGTGGAAAGCCTGCCTGAACAATGGCTCTGTCACTGCTGCTCCCACTGCCTTTGTTGCAGCTACTTAGGCCACTATAGCTACTGCCATTAGCGGGTACTTTAATCTGTCTTCTTATGCCCATTGCTTATAATTTTCTCCTTTGTTATAAATCTCTACATAATTATACCTTACTTGGTGTGACTCTCTAGACAGTTCTGTGGGAGAGTAAAACTCTGCTTCTTTGGAAGAGCTCGGTTGGTCCCTTGTTCATTTTCTGACATCTTCCAGAACTTCTCTGGTTATGAAATTTATAACTTTTTTTTTCATTTTATGTATAATGCACTTTTTAAAAGTAAAGTTATTTTATCTACAGACTATACTATGACCATACGTGTTATGCTTTTTCCTCTCCTAATTTTTAAATTTTTGCCAGGAAATAATGAAATTAGCTTCTCTAAGAAAAAAATAGTTCTGATTAAAAATAATGTATGTTTTAAGAGTACTATAGAAGATATAGCTACCTATGTCAATAATTACATGTTTTCACATTAACCTGGATAATTTTATCAATACATTTTAAATAGTAGAAGAAATATTTATTTTTGGCTCACTTTATTTTCAATGTTAAGAAGATATTTTTTATTTTTGTGAGTGCTGAAACTGAGGTTTGAATTCAGAGCCTCATGCTCTTACTTAGGTTTTTTGCTGAAAGTTTATGCTATAACAATTAAGCTATACAGCTATACTGTTTCTTGTTGCTTTTTGCTGGTTTTTTGGAGGTAAGAGTCTCACAGACTTTTCTGACTTGCTGGATTAGAAACTTGATCTTCAGATCTCAACCTCCTGAGATTGAGACACCAGTGCTGGGCTTTTACACATATTCATGTAAAAAATTCAAGATTGTTTTGAGAATTTTTATGGAATTTCTTACAATTTTATATTACATACATCACTAAGATGCTTAGTGAAGATCAGTATGTATAATAAAAGCATGTTGTAAATATGCATGTTTATTATTGACTAATAGCTTGTATTTACCCAAGAGTTATAAAAGTGGTAGAATTAGTTCCCATACTGTCCCTACACATTTCTGTTTTAATTGAAGCTTGCAATTTGTGAGAGAACATCAGCCCATTTGTTACAAGTAAAATCCACATTTTGCTCAAATTTCATTCCTTTTCACTTAACATCCTTTTGCAGTGCCAGGATCTCATTGTAGATACGAATTTTATTTAATTAAAATTGGATTTTAATAAAATTTAAGTTCTTAATTTTTTTTTCAGGGAGCTTTTTTCTATTGTAGCTTACTTTCAAATTTAACTGCATGTGCAAAGAACTTGAATAGCTATTTCTTAAAAATATACAAATGGTCAACACATGCACAAAAAAGCTATTTTTTTATACTTTGAAGGGACAAAGAGTGTCTTCCAGGCTTTAGTCTGGCTCCGCAAGACAACCACAGGCTGAATGCAAAATTAAATTAATCTAGAAGCTTTTGTCATAATTTTTGTCATTTATATTCATGCATCAAAATAATGTGAGTTTTAAAGGACAATCAAGGACTAGCCAAAAAATCTTTTCTGTCAAAGTAGATGACTGACATAAGCATCTGCTATCATATAAGGGTCTATTTTGCTTAAGCCACATCCTGTTTTAAGAATTGTTATTCTAACAAAGGAGCGGGTAACAATGCTTTATAGGAAATGTACTCATTACCTTACTCATGTAGCTGTAACCCCTCTGTATAGTATCTTTACAATAAAAATATATATTAAAAATTAAAAAGAAAAAGTAAAAGAAAAAAAAGAAAAAGAATTGCTTTTCTAGGGTGTGGAGATGTGTATCTCAAATGACAGAGCTTCAGCTGACCAAGAATTGTGGGGTTTGGATTTTGTGTGTATCTGTGTGTGTGTGTGAGAGAGAGAGAGAGAGAGAGAGAGAGGAGAGAGAGAGAGAGAGAATTCAGCCAGGTATACAGTTTTGTTTGATTGCTCAGATAAATGTAACCTTTTTCAAACTAGCCAATCATGTAAGAATCTGAACCTAAATTCTGACCAATCAGAAAAAAGGTCAATAACAGCTTTAAAACTCCCAGGAGGAGTCCTGGGAGCCTCTCCTTAAGAAGAGTTACATCCTGCCTCCCCTTTTGTGACAGCCTCCAGGTCAGGTCAAGCTACACCTGAGCTCCCTTGCTGCTGACAAAGGACTTAAAATTGAAGGTTAATAAGCAATACAGGAAACAGGCCCAAGCAAGAAGTACAATAACTAGGTAAACTTGTGCTTGGGCCAAGGCATGAAATTTGATGCTTAAGTACTCTCTTGGTTATTGGGTGTTCTGCCAAGTTTCTGTTAAATTGAATTTCTGTCAAGTGTGTGACTGAGGTGTATAGGAGACATAAAGAGAATGCAGTCTTGAGTCCAGATTTGTGGTTTCATTCTGATTCTAGGGATGAACAAAATGTTGGAGACAAGGGAAATAATCTCAGGTTGTATAAGAAACCTGCACTAGCCCTGTCTCCCAGTTTCCTGGTGCTTCGGGCCTGCCAAATGGGAAGGGGAGACACAACATGGCTGCAACCATGAATTCCAGTGCTAGCCTCCCTGTTCCACTGCCCGACTTGGGCAAGTAACTCTGCCTGGCTTACATCTGTATGTAGTCTGAGGAAACACGCGAATTGAGTTTTAATAGGTCATGGGCCTTTGGGCCTTTTTTTACAACCTGGAAGCCCTCTAATTTTGAGAATTCCTCCTCTCTTGAGCACATGGAATTGTGTGGAATGAACAAGGTATGCAACAACTGAAGAAGAAAATGAAGATATAGACTGAATTAAATTTAAAGTTGTTTCTATGAGATTCAGGTTTAGCTCCTCCAAAGATGTATGAATCTTATCTACTTGTTCATAAAGGAAAATGAAATGTTAGTAAAAATCATCCATTCAAGACAATAATGGGAAAACAAAATCACAAATAAAAATTATGTAACCACAGTTGAGAAACTGATGATTGATGACAAGAAATATTACTTATCTGGGAGAAACCCAGATATGTGTGACCCTACCATTGACCATTACTCTCGAGTCCATGGGCTCTGGTCTACTACAAACAGCTGAAGAGAGTTTTATTGCTAGATCTCAACAGTATACATGGCATCTTCTTACATCACATTAGGCTGGATCCTCACAAACCCCAGCAAACCCCCATCGTTTCTACGGTCTTATTTGGCACATCCACAAGAGCAAAAATGCTGCGGGAGAAGCCTCAGACATTGCCATTGCCTGGGAAAGGAAATGAGAAGAAGGGTGGAGAGCATCGTGAACTCAAGGGCTTACTGGGGCTTTCAGAAGAGGAAACAGAACTTGATAACCAGACAGAGTTCAACACTGCCCACAACAAGCAGTTTTCAACCTTCACCACTGAGAAGAGAAATCCGGACATTCAGAGACCAAAGAGGAAGAGGAGGAACTCGCGAGTGACGTTCAGTGACAAGGATGAAATCATCAACCCAGAGGCTGTGGATAACTCAGTTGGTCACTACCCGAACATGGTGCAAATGGCAGTGGTCTCAGTAAAGAAGAAGTGGGAGGAAGTCCATGGCTCCCTGGGCCTGGGAGAGTCAGGCAGCGGACGCAGACAGAACTTTGCCTTCAGCAGAGGACTTTATGGGGGCTTGCCACCCCCCCCCCACACACACACTCACAGGGAAGCAGTCTCTCAGCAACATGGCATCCATGGGATGGTGCTCATCAGCGGCTTGCCCATGCCATACCCAAACCTTGCCCCAGATGTGGACTTGACTCCTGTGTGCTGTCGGTAGTGAACATGAACCCCACACTAAACCCTGCTGTCTATAATCCTGAAGCTGTAAACGAACCCAAGGCATGCCCGTCTAGAAGCCTACTCCTTCCTTACTGATTTGATATTTCTGGTCCTGGGGAAGTGGGGATGAGGTGGGAATAGGATGGAAGGGTGAGGGAACTAATGAACTAGGGATTAAAATTTCCATGTGTGAAGTATCATCTTTGAGAATGTCTCCTGGGGTCCTAAACCATGTAATACTGAGCCTGCGGGTGGGGCTGGACTAGCCCACACCTGTCTTGAGAACGCTTTAGTGTAGCCAGAGGTTTAGTGGGTATTTTCAAGTAGACTGCCCTGGCTCTTTCTACCGCTCCTCTCCTTCTCCCTAGGGTGATTGTTGTGTGGAGTCATATGCCTTCAACTGGAATCCAGACCTGGGGTGGTGACTTGGCCTCCAAAATCCCACATAGCAAAGGAGTTGCCATGGATCTCAAGTTGACCAATTAAGCTAAGGTTTAAACTCAAAGTGTTTCTCATCTTGGTGGTTTTGAGGTCCGATAGTTAGATTTTTCTCTTTTGTCCTTTCTGTTGGAATAAGAACATTTTGATTTCCCTTCGTCTGTGACCAGTGTCCTGACACAGGTTTAAGCTTTTTAACCTACAGCATTGTTTGATCTTTACCTGTTTTTCTTGTCCAATCTAAAGCACTCCACTTGCCTAATTTAAAACTGTAATTTCAGAGTACTGTCCTCTACTCTCTAAAGCATTATTTTGCTTTTTGAGTGTGCTATGGAGCAGTTTTAAAGACTGTGATGGGTTAGGGCAGATCAAATTTAAAAAGAAGATTTTACTTGGTAAGGAATTAGTTTCTCTTAAGAAGACATTTTAGCTGTTGGTTTGGAGGCTTTTGCCTCCTAAGAAGAACCACATCCAGTCCTATACATGACCAAGACAGCTCTATGAATGTCAGGATGATGTTAACTCATCATACAAGGAACAGGGCCACACCCTGACCCTATTAAGCTGACTCTAAAAAAATCCTAATAATCCTAATAATTTCCCTGCTCCTTGGTTAAACATCACCCAGTCTATTGATTCTTTTAATATTTCCATTCAGGTGACCATCCTTGTCTCCAAGCCCTGGATGGACCCTCAAGTTGACATGGGATTGGGGGGGGGTCTCAAGCTCAGAAGCCAATCCTTTGGGTATGCTTAAAATTCAAATCATAAATTCTCCCACCCCTATAAGAAAGGGGAGTCTCAATGCTCCCTCAAATGATCCCAATTGACATATATGGGAAACTTGTTTGAATACAGTGAGAGCCAAAGCAGGCATCTGGTGTTATCAAAAAGGACCACTGCTGGGGAATTTTACGGGCCAACCAGAGTGAAATTTGTGTTTTGTTTTAATTGGTCATCACTTTCACCCTGGCATTTTGTTGATCTGACCAGTCTCAAACAAACACTTTATAGGAGATAAGGAGAGACTTTGTCCTTGGTGAGTCATTCAATCCTCAAATTTACACAGATGGTGTTTAGGTCCCCTGAGAAGAAGGAGTTCTGAACGAGTTTAAAGCTGGATATCAGATAGCAACAGGATTTAGGTGATCCAATTGCTAGCTTGAGGGAACAATGGTATGGAAAATAGAATAGAAGTGTGGCTATAGTTACCTCATTAGTGATTATGTTTGGAGTAATGACTGTGTTGTTTGCTATATTTCTTGCATAAGACATCTTATTCAGACACTTATTGAAACTGCCCTCATCAAACACTGGTTTCCTATCAAAATAATATACTACTATTAGATACTAATGAACAGGAAAGTCAAAGCTGATTTTGAAGATCTGAAGAAAGAATGTAAAATAAAAGATGTGAGAATTGTAGGAATTCAAACATTTTCTAGCAAAGTTGCTGCTGGACATAAGTATCACCATTCTAAGTTTAGCTGCCATCTTAAAAGAAGCTATTTTAGTTAAACCACATAGTGTTGTCAGAACTGTTTCTCTAGGGTATGGAGGCATGCCTCAGGTGATAATGCTCTGAGTAAGAATTGTTTACCTTTGTTGCTGTTGTTTTTAATGTACTTATAATGTACTATGTGACTTTTTTGTTTCTTTTGTATGTTCTTTCCCTATGGTATAACCCCTGTTTTCACTGTAGTTGATTCTGGTGCCCTATATTATGTATATGCATTTTTCTAATTTGGCGAGGTGAAGGGAAATAACAAAATGCTGAAACAAGGATACAGGTTGCCCCATTGTAACAATGAGATGTACAAGACACTATGTTGAAAATGAACTTTACAACTTGAGGTGGGGATGGGGGGGAGGGGAGGAAGGATTTGGGGGGGGTGGGGATGGAAGGGATGGTAGAGGAAAAACAAAGGAAGGGGTAACAATGAGCCATAGGAAATGTACTCATTACCTTACTCATGTAACTGTAACATCTCTGTACAGTATCTTTACAATAAAAATATATATTAAAATTATTTACAATAAAAAGTATATGAAAATAAAGTTTGTTTTTTTTTTAAAAAAGAATTGTTTGTCTGATAATTTGGCCAGCTTAACCTGCTTTGGGTTGATAACTCAGATAAATTTTTAACTTTCTTCAAATTTGCCAGTTGCACAAGATTGTGAAGCTAAATTCTGACCAATCAGAACAAAGGACAGCAATGTTTTTGTTTTGTTTTGTTTTCTCCCGTCTTGGGGCTTGAACTCAGGGCCTGGGCACTGTCCCTGAGCTTCTTTTGCTCAAGGCTAGCACTCTACCACTTGAGCTACAGTGCCATTTCTGGCTTTTTCTATTTATATGGTAATAAGGAATCGAACCCAGGGCTTCATGCATGCTAAGCAAGCACTCTACCAACCAAGCCACATTCCCAGCCCCCACCAATGTCTTAATAATAAAACTCGGTAGACTGCACATCCATTGCTTACTTGGTTTCTTGTGGGTGCCATGCCCTTCTTCAGAATGTGCTTTACTTTGCTGAGCTCCTTTTGAGTTCATGTCCTTATTCCTAGTTGACACTCCAACGTCCTGAGACATTTCCAGCATACCCACTCTTGTCCCATATCACTAGATTATTTTAAAAAGTTAAAATGAAACAATATACAAAATACTACCAATGTTGTAAATTAAGGCAAAACATAAATTTTGTGGAGGTAATATAACATTTAATATGGATCAGCTTATATGGAAAATGATTTGCTAGTACTCAATAAGTTATAGGAGTGCTATAATTTCACTTTAACTATAAAACCACAAAGACTAAACTAGACTGAATTAGATAAAGGAAATAGCACAAGCCCACATAACAGCATTTAGCAACAACAAAAACAAAGGAACACAAGAAGACCATGAGAACATTTACATATGTAGTGAGTACTCTTACAAGGAACACTCTGAAGAAAGGAATGCTGGGTAGGAAGTTTGTGAGGATAGGGGAAAAACTACTTTTATGGGTAGAGTCTTTGAAGTGATACAAATGCTCTAGAACCAGACAGACATGGTGACTGTTCAACACTGTGAATGTGCTGATTATTGGTGGATATTGTTGTTGTGCTAGTACTGGAGATTGAACTCAGGGCCTCAGATTTCACTTGGAGTTTTTTTGTTTGTTTGTTTGTGTTTTGGTTTTGGGTTTTGTTTTTTTTGTTTTCTGAAGGCAGACACTCTACTCTTAAGCTACTTCTGGCTTTTTGCTGATTGACTAGAGATAAGAGTCTCAGAACCTAGCATCCTGAGTAGCTAAGATTACAGATATGGGCTACCAACACCAAATTGAATTTTGTTTTCTAAAAGTAATTTTTTTAATGAGTAAAAGAAATCAATGTAGAAGTCTAAACAGTTTACTTATACCAGTACCAGTGATATTAGAAACAGAGTAATAAACCAATCTGATTAATAATTAGAAATTCATTGTTTGCCTAAGCAGTTTTTGAGAGTTTAAAGCATATTTGGTGGTCCTCTCCACGGATAGACAGCTGCTGACACTTGTGAATGACAGCATGATTTGAGTTAAAAAAGTACCAACATTGGTGCTTCTTTTGAAATTGGGTTTTCTGTAATAGTATTTTGCTATATATTTTAAACTCATATGAATTGGTATGTAGTGAATAAGAAAAATGTTCTTAAACTTAAATAAGATATAAATAACAACAATAGTATAACTATTTCACTTAATGAAAATAGTATTATTTTAAATGCTATCTCTGAGTGAATGAATGTATAACTCATATACTTTTAAAACTGCAATTAAAATCATCTAATGAGGTGTAATACTTGAAGCTGTTTTAAGGTAGATAAAGATCAGATACATAAATAAGAACTTAATCTGATCCCATGTTGGGCCTTTTTTTTCTTGCAAAAAGATTTTACTAAAATAAAGATAAACTCTTAGTGCTATTTTACAAATTCAGGTAGTATCTTCTTAATTCTTTTCTACTTTTTAAAATTGTTATTGATGATGATATACAGAGATGATACGCAGAGGGATTACAGTTACACAAGTCAAGTAATAAGTACATTTCTTTCAAACAGTGTCACCCTTCCCTTGCTTTCTCCCATTTTTTCCCTCCTGACCTCCCCTCCCCCCACCAAGTTGTTTGGCAACATTAATAGAGAAGGAAAAATGTAGTAGATTACTTGATCAGAACATCAAGTGATTTGTGTTCCTTACATTTTGGAATGTAAATGTTAACTTGATACTGTAGAAAGTGTGATCAGAATGAAAAAAGAAATTATACCTGCATCTCAGGACATCATGATTACTTGAGTGGCTGCTATAATCAGGGTCTCCAATGTGAAGAATATAAGCCAGGCACTGGTGGCTCACTACTATACCTAGGTACTCAGGAAGCTGAGATTTGAGGGCTGTGGTTTGAAAGTTCAGGCAAGGAAATCTGAGTCCAAGTATGACTCAAGTGGTAGAGTGCTAGCCTTGAGCACGAAAGCTAAGGTATAGTGCCCAGGCTGAGTTGGAGCCCCAGTACTAACACAAAGTGAAGAATCTACAATGAATAGCAAGTCACAGGGGAAGGAATACACTACATCATAAAAATGATAGATATCTAAATAAAGAAAGTTTCATGGTACTGAAATTGTTTCATAGATA